CGTTCTTTACTTTTACATTATCGATGTGTCTGCAAATTTCCAGATTCTCATTGAGATTCGCTACTTTAAAAAAAAATGTTATTTCGTCTCACTTTTTCCCCGTAACTTTTGCTTAACACGATTATTAAATCCTATTTGCCTGTTATAAAAAAAATTCCTTCGGAAGCATTCGCTTCGCATAAAAATCAATGTTTCTTCGTCGCTTCGGCAACTTTTCTCTCCGCTTCTTTTTTCACCTTTCTTTTTATCCTCCTTCCTTCTCGCTCCTTAACTTCAACACAAGCGTTCCTTCTGATATTCGCGGAGAAATCGATCGTCGAAGGAGGTCGGTGCCGGCGATATTGTGAAATTTTACGAACCATAGATATCTGGGAAATTCCTGGTTCGGCCAGACGTGGCACCATATGTGCGAAACGCAGCTCGGTACCGTTCGAAATTGTTTTTAGCGTTATGTTTCTGTATTAACGCGGCCGGCACGCTTTCTTCCCGGCTTAAACGCGCACCCTTGCACCTATTATTGGCCTGGAATTTTGGGGGGGAACGACACTTTCTCTGCAGACACCTGGCCAATTACGTATATACAGAGTTAACTATCCGATATGAAACATTTCAAGAATATCTTCAACGTGTAAGAATTAAATAATTTATCTATAATAAACGCGAGTGCAGCGAGACGAGTCTCTACAGGCTGAAATTGTTCTCATATCGCAATATGACGATATGACACAACGAGTGTCCTGCGGCTATTATTTTACTTCAAGAATGAACATTTTTTTATTACCGAAGTTCATGCGATCCTCCTAACTGTTAATAATTTTATTTCGATTAAAACGAATCTCGCTAAAGTGCATTCATTTACTTTCGCTTGAACTTTGAATCCGATTTGAAATCTAAAATAATTCGCACCTATAAATGCATTTCTCGCGAATTCACCGCAAATAATTCGTCGGCAATAATCTACTGGGTCGTCCGTTCTCACAGCAGCTACTTCTTCACCGACAGTGGGAATTACGGACACGTTTCACGATTGTTTAAAATATTATATAATCGGCATAATCGGTGAGGCAATCTTCGAAATCGGACACCTTTCGCGGCCAATTGAATTCAGAAAACAGAAGGGTAATCGAGAAGCTTCTATCGCCTTTTCAACTGCGCCTCTCCAACCGTATGATCGTCGACGATTCAGGTGTTTTATAAGCTTCGCGTCTGCATGTTTGCCAATGAAATTCCACGGAGATAGAAATCAAATATGAATCGTTATCCATGTGAAACGGTAATGGAAACGCGCGTTGGATGCAAGGGTTCCGAGTGTATAATATAATTCGATTCGCGTTGCGATTAAATCCCTTTTGATCGAGAGAGGTGGTCTTTCCTTTTCTCTCGGAGAGTTGGGAACACGCGATGCCACGGCGCGCCGCTAGGTAAACCGGTATTAATTCAGTGACCTGGATAGACGGGGCGAGCCTTCTGTTAGTCGCCGGCCAAACCACTTTATTTCCACTTTATTACGTTAAAAATTCGCGATGCGTTTGCTTCGAGCCGAACGAAGGATCGAACCGTCTCTCTTGGGCCAATTCGAGTTAACGAGCAAAAAGTACACCGTGCTGCGTTCGTTAATATCACTTCTCCGCAATACTCCGTACGATTCTCACATGCGTTTTCCAGCAGATTTTTCCGCACTACCGTGTAGAAAACAGAATACCATTTTTTTCTTTTCTCCCATCAGACGCAAAATGTGATTCGATCGATTCGATTTCATTCGATTTCCGAATCGTTCGTTCGTCTTTCCGATGATTGTCCAACGAGTACTTGGAACAAGATGCACGGTTTTCATGCAAAAGCGAAAAACTGTCTTATTCTGAGTGGGTTGTTCGATGGACTTGATAACTCAAAAGTCGGCAAGAATATTCTTTCATCGGACATCTTTTTGAAGAAAGCGGGCTTCGAAGGAAAATTTATCGCTGTTTCTTCGTACAGCTATTACCGAATGGCAATTAATGATAAAGGAAATAGAGACGAGCGGAAATTCGGATAGATCGTTAGGCAGAGATAAACATTCACAAAGGTGAAAAGTAACGTTCGGAAAGGCCGGCAAAAATTAGGAAAAAGGGGAATAAATCACGGAGTATACCGGGCCAATTTCTCACGAGCTAACTATAATTCGTTGCGTTGACGGTGCATCCACGTAGTCGAATATTACCGACAAAACGACTCTGATTAGCGAAACGTAAGCGTTGTACGGAAGATGGGATATCGAGTAGTTATAATGAAATTAAAAAGCGATCGACATTCCAAAAGTTTGGTTAAGAATGGCGAGATGTTGGTTGAAAAGTTGGAGGAAGAAGCGTATGTTCACGGGGGAATATATTATATAACCAGCGTACCAAGGAACCCTCTTTTCCTTCCGAATCCTTTCCTCTCCTCGATTCGCGATCGCATTACACAGATCTGGAACCTTTCCAACGGAGCAAGTTCGTGATTTTTAGACTGAAAATTGAAGCGAAAAGTGTATGCAAAGTGTGTCTGGATTTTTCTCAGATTCCACCGTCCGCTTTCACATCTGACGATACGATCTTCCGGTTATAAGCCAGAGTCGATCCATCTTTTCACTTAGAGAACGCTGAATTAAGGAGGTCGTTTATTCATTCCGAAGGAGGAACCAAAAGGTCCCGTGTATTTCCCGCTTCCGTTCCGGAAACGAAGGAAATCGGACGATCGAGTAAAATTGGACGGCGAAAGAGCGAATCTCACGGTTAAAAGCAAATATATTTTATAAATATGCGTACAATCGATCGAAATTGTACAATCAATTGAATTTGAGATTTCTAAAAATTCGTGATAATTCGATTCGACTTCGATTAAAGAAATCTCCTATATTTGAACTGTACGAATAATTATAGATGACAATATCTTTCCAAATCGATATTAAAATCGTAGGAAGTTTGATCAGATTTCGGTAGAAATCGTTAATAATAATCTCAACGTGACACGATCGAGGTTAATTTTCATTGTGGTCGATTTTATGGTTTTGCAAAATCGTTGGTGAAATAATAGAGACCTCGTTGCCGTTCGCGTTTGTCTGGCGATTTTATATTAATTTTGCCACAGTATTTCAACGGGCATAGAGAACCGGTCCGATCGGATGCATCGCGAGACCGTAGCGTTTTCATGGAAAACGGGAGAATAAAATTTCAAACTACGCGTGCAGATTTATCGAGCGGACAGGCGCACCTTTTTCAGTTCGTCGAATGAAACGCAAAACTTCGATGCTTCCGCCCTCTTCCTCGCCCCTTTCCCGCTTCGTATCTACCATATATTCCCTGGCATCGCGAAAATTCCGATGAAATTGTGGATGGAGGACGCGAATGGGAAGCAGTAGCGGCAAGGATTCTTGCGCTGCCCCTGTCGTAGTTTTTGTTTCGCCCTGGATTCTCTTTTGAAGTGAACGGACCCGTGAATAATGAACCGCTTCTTCAGCCCCGATACATCCTATCGGAAAAATTGGAAAATATCTGACACAAAGTACGGTCGCTAAATGTTCACGTATCTTTTTTCCATTCTCATCTTTCTCTCTTTTCTCTCAAACCCTTTCGTGGAAAATATTTCATGTAATTTCACCCCTGTTTACCGGATGATTCGGTAACTCGATCGAGTCGAAGGACAGATTTTCTGATTATCTCCAACTCACCCCGTTTTATCGAATTTAATGCTTCAAGTTTAATGGCTTTTTCATTCGTATTTATATTCAAATTGAGAGACGAGTTCTCTGCGAATGACCGATTTTACTTCGATACGTTCTGTGAAAAAAATAGCAGTGTCAAAAAACGTTGCAAGGAAACGAGATACAAAGACTATAGATATTACGGTATAATGTACGAAACATTGCGTTGATATTTCCAGCGAACGTGTATTTTATTACGCGAAATCGGGACACGTGTCAGAGATCGCAATTTCGATGCAACGAAAAATCTGCGCGTCTTTTCCTTTCCATGATCCATTTGGTGGAGCGTTCCGTGCGGCAATTTTTGGCAAGATCGAGAGCACGATGCGATTTAATGAACGTGACTGGATCTTATCGGCTGGGAAACGAAACTCTGGAACGGCAGAAATCTTGTTGAAACGCTTGGCACACTCTTCGACTACATAAACACGATCAATTTGGATGGAAAACATGATTCTTATTACTGCTATTCTCTTCTCTCCTCGCCTCCTCCCTCATCCCCGGTCTCAACTCGGATAAATTTACATTTCTTTGTTTCCAGTTTTTGCAACGGCGCATCAGGCGGCTCGAAAAACAGTATTGTTCGATCGAAATCCTCGTTGTGAATAACAATGACGCAGAAAATCATTGGTTACAGCACCTTCGTGATTTTCCGTCGAAAATATCGTAACACCGTGAAATATTCAGTCGTTACGATCTGAATTTTAATTCTACTTCAATGTTTCATTAGCTGTGTAATATATTTGAATGATGGGTCTTCTATCCTGCTTTTATTAAAAAGGAATAAGGTTACGTACGTTCCTGTATTTAAATCTCCGATGAATTTGTTGTTATTAATTTCAATAAACGGAAAATGGACTAGTAATATTCTCGTTCGATGTGCTTTATAATACATCTACGCTAACAATGAGAATGAGATTTCTATCGTATCACATCGCCGAATGTATACTGGAATCAAAATTCAGTTTAGAGAAAAGCTCGTTAAAAGAAAAAACGTAAAGAAAAGCGATGGAAATCAGCCAAGAGTGCTTAGCCGATTCATCGTAGAGTAACTATTACAATTTGTTATTTTAGGAATCTTCATTTATAAGGCTTATCGTTAACCGTATTCGACACAATCCTGGAGTCGAATATCGAAACAAAATTAATCTAAACAAAATTCTCCCTAAATTCTCTCTAAATAAATTCAGCAGTAGTAGCTGAAATATATCCGGCAAGATTTTTCATCGTTACGAGGTCACGAATCGGTGAACTTATCGGGTCGTTGGATTTGTTGCAGAGGCACCCCGTGGGACGTACCTGCTGATAGATGGTCGTCGGTTGGACCCGGGCAACCAGTTCGTCCCTGTAAAGGAGGGTTCCGAATTGACGTTAGAGTGTGCCGCTGAGGGTGGAAATCCACCGCCCGATTTAGCATGGGGGATGACTCTGTCTCAGGCCACTTTAGACGGACCAGAGCAACCGCCGGACAATCTGACCGTGTTGCCCTCCACGTCCGGCAGACGCAGCGGAGCTCACCTTAAGGTCCTGAGGGGACACCATAACGCAACCATCGCCTGCGTCGCCCGTCACGTCACCCTCACCATACCTATGAACGCGAGTATTCTGCTCGACGTCCAATGTGAGTAATGTTTCGACATTTTTTTCTCTTCCTCCTGTTTCTCTCTTTCTTTTTCTTGTTTTGCTTTTTGTTTCGCGTCTCGGCTATTTATTCGAGCGAGGTTAAGGTTAAGGTTCCCCTTGAAAAAGACGAGGGTGAAATTGCGTGAAACGTGCGAACACAGCGAAACATGGCAAAACTTGGCACGAAGGTTGTCGTGTTTAAAGTTGTTCCAACGTTTAGGATATTAATCGAATACTTTTTTGTGGGATTCTATTGGTCTCGTGTCTGGTGTTGAGAGGCCTGTTTTGATAAATGATTTTGTCGTGTGCTGTTAGGTTATTGTAAACTGTTTCGGAATATATCGAAACTTTGACGATAGACTTGCTAGAGATTTTAAATAACTTTTTATAGATAAATTTAGAGAAATATCAACGTAAAAAGTTCAGATACTTAAAGATCTTCCTATTCTTATATACTTGAGCAACGTTGAAATTCGTTTCAGGATACTCTCGTTTGTCTGACAAAAATTGTTTCTTTCTCATTTATATTGTACAATGCCCTGCTATTTTAAATTTATGAATTCACCAGTGTTTTATTGGTCGCCGTGATAAATGAGTTTCCCGTAAAATTTCAACGACAAATGGACGGTTCAAGAAGGACTGTAAGATTTCATCGGCGAGATCGTCAACACGAGCACGATGAACACACTGTGATATCTTGTTTTAAACTGTCTTTATGTAGCCCCGGAGTTATTGTCGCTGTCTCGTCTCGAACTCATCACCTTAGCCTGCCCTGAAACTATCGTATAATTTCGAGCGTTTCACCGTAAGCTGTCTCGTCATTTGCTCGTCTCGTCTGGTCTTCGACCTTTCCACTTTTCTCCAGAAACTCGCAACGCTCGCCACCCGTGACCTGCTCTTTCTACGCCGTAAAACTTAAACTCTCGCAAGTTCGAGGTAGGGAATTTTCTGATGCTTTGTGAAATAATAGAACATCTTTCTTCTTTCGTGAACCATAAAAAGAATCTTTCTCCATCTGGACGCTGTTTCAAGTAATAACATGGAAGAGGAAATCTACAGGTCAATTTGGTGTTTTCAGATGAAACGTCCAGTTTTTTCATGCTCAAATTCAATAACCTCTGGATTGATAAAACGATGTTCTTCAGCAACGTCCTTTCCATTAAATTACTATATCGTTTGATGGCTATACAACGTTTAGAATATGCTTTTGTTACCTGGTTTCCTGACCAGGTTAAGTACAGTCGTGCGTTAGAGAAGATCATCCAGACAATCTGCTACTTTATTATCCGCGTACATTTACCTCTAAATACAATAACTTTCATTTCGTCTATAAAATGCGTTGCACGTCTATTGCAAACAATTTTTGTCTTCTACTTGACTCTTTCTCGGTTTCTTTCGTCTCTTCTAAAAATTCTATGCTAAACCTTTCGTAAAGTATTCGCGCTATGTAATGCACCGTATTCCAACGCGTTACTCCCATTTGTCTGAAAATAAATTAAATTAAAATAACTTGGCAAATATACCGGAGTATATATTATTACACGCTCTATGTTGCTTTATCACCGAAAGATCAATATTGCTATTTAGTACTATACACGGCACAAATCTGAATATCTAAGCAATTTGTATTCCGCTCCTGGTATTGTAGGAAGTTGTACCCTATTTCTGCGACTGCTACAACTTATCAGGATAATACGGACTTAGCACGCTAAACAATTAGAATTTATTAACACTAACACTCAACATTGTTCATTCCAATCTGTCACAAGGACCTATCTACCTTCAAACTAACTTTATCTTCCCTACTGTATACGTATTACGCGTATATTCCCCTATCCAAGCAAAACCTTCCAAATATACGTCACGCTATACATCATGATTCATATACAGAGAAGAGGAAAAAATCAACTTTTACGATGGTATTCACCCACGTCGTTGTTTCAGTCTATCTGGAACGCAGCCCTCGACACAACGAGCAGCCACGCAATTAGGTCACCAATCCCATTCTATACTTTCGCTATCACGGTATAATCCTCGATGTCTCGTCTCGAACGAAACGAATCCTATTTATCCCCTTCCCCGCCGTCTTCCTCTCGTTGTCCAGCACACATCGTCGTTATTAAGGGTGTAACGAGGAGAAAGGGAGGAAAGGATACAGAAGAAGAGATCCGAGGAAAAGTTACGAGCGTATTATTTAGTTGATGCCGCGTTGAAATTGCCAGTGGCCACGGTCGAGATCTAATTTTCGTAGACTTCGTAGCCAGCACAATTCCTGTTGAAATATTAGGTAGAAGAAATCGCGATACGGGGACCTGGCGGCTAAAAAAGCCCCGGCCGGTCGCTGGGTGCGTTTTAAAAATGGGCTTAATTCAAGTCGAGCGGCAAGGAAGTGTTATAATTCTGCGGATCGTTTTTCCCCCTGGCCTGCTCTCTGCTCGATGGGAGAGGGGTGGACAGAAACGTAGCAGCTAACGGGATTTCAGTGGTATTAGAACTGGGACGAGTATCGTTGTCTGAACGACGAGAATGCCACGTGTAGGAAAGCAATAATTTAATTAAGTTACGTTTCTTCGCTATTATTACACGCTGCGATGTTATTTCATTTCTAAGAACTTGGAATTAACATTAGAGAGGGAATGTGTAAGGGGAAATTTCAAGAAAAACAAATTATGCGATTAACTTGAACTATCGTTCGTGATAACTCTGCTGGTCTCGCCACTACTGTGTGGCTAATATTATTAATAATAAAATAATTCAGTTAGTTTATAATACTCGGTGGTAATTGGAAATTAAAGTATCATTGAAGTAAGTAATCATTTGTGGTTGCAACTGAAGAAAGGAAAGTTTTAGTCGATTGAATTGTATCAAGGGATTCTACTATTATAAACAGTGCTAACAGAGTTAATTAGAGTATTAAATTCGACAAAAAGTAACAAACCGAATAATACAGAAAACACAGGATACGTTGAGAGAAATAAGAGAACTTCCGCTGATGCTCCATGCGCGCGCCCTATTTTTCAGATTATTAATTCCACGGCAAATTACTCAAAATTTTCCAACGGGCCTGGAATTTATCGGGTCATAGCCTTGGCCATAGTCGTTTAGTGTTTCAGTAAATTTTCCACTGGCTTCAAAACTCCGTGGGCCACCGTTTATCGCGAACAAATTAGAGTCGTTGATGCAACCAGAGAAGGAAACTAGTTTCTTCGAGACGTCTCGTAAAATCTACCGCACTAGAAAAGAGATTTCGCATCCTATCTCGCCCTGAGGAATGAAGCAACGGGGGATAACAAAGCCGAGCAAGAAGGGAACACCGTTAACCGCGCACGGTAACGTCCAACGTGTACGCTTTATTTTCTCTTGGTCAACTTCTTGCTGTTGCCTTCCTCGAGAAACCGACGAGATCCCTGTTAGTTCGAGTTTCCGAAAGCGGTTATACATCCCTCCGGGGAGCTGACTTGTTGTTACACGTAAAATCACGCGGGTCGTTCAAAGGAATTGAATTTCACACGTCCAATGTCTCGGATATTTCGCGATGACGTGGTCTTTTTTCTGGAATTTTTAAATTAAATTCTCAAACCGGTACACGATAGTACAAACTCGACGAAATTGTTGCAGCAGAATTATGGATGAGATAAAGAATAGATTTATCACGCAATGTATTTTGTTGTTTCGCATCTTGGAAGCTTTACAACACCGTTATCATTTTATCATTACAGTTTACACACATTCCCTTTTTTGAAATTTACATTAAATTTCAAACCATTCGTTTTATAACTTTATGTGAGACGCTGTTTCGTGAGACTTGTATCAATATTTTATACTTTCATCGCCATAAAGATGTAAAATAATTGGTAGTTAAAAAGAAAAAAGGGGAGAAACGTGTCTCGCGAATAATTACATTCATTTTGTTTATTTATACGCTATCTCTAATTATGCACCCATTTAATATCTCTCGCATACATAAATATTGATGTACATACACAAATGTAAGCACTGACTAATATTGTATTTTTAGTTAGTTAATTAGTATATTCTGCCTAACCGTTCATCTAATTTCACATGATCATTAAAAATCTAAGTTCTCATGAGCCCAACCTACGTAAATACCTAAAACGATGGAACGTAAAGGGAAATCTTTTCGAAGCGTCAGTTGATCCAAGGGTGGAAACATATTTCCACAATCTCGGTGCAAGAATATTGGGCGACATTTTATAGACGCAACAATCACGATCATGCTTCAATGCAACGATAATTCGAAAAATAATTATAGTAAGCGCGACCGAGGACTATTGCAACAATAATTCTTAAACTGAATATAAAAATAATTGAACTTTAATATCTTCGTATCAAAATACTCTATCACATTATAATAAAGTTTATATTACGAAAAGAAAATAATTGAATTGTTCGACATATCATCATGAGACCGAAAATGAGACAAAAAATTATCAACTATAATTTACATTATCATTACAATGATTTCAAGTTTCACTACAACCAAGTCGTAGGATATCCCACTTTACTACAAAGCACTTAATTGAAGTTATTTCAATGTTTGTTATTTATACAAGTGCCTATTCACATTTTATTGATGTTTGGCTTTTACAAATATGTATTCATATTGGATGTTCTGCTTTTACATCCACTTATTCAAACTAATTATCAACAATATATCGTTCATATTAATTATAACGTTTAATATTATATTAATATTATTATCATCAACGTCATATTGTTGGTATCAAGAACGCCATATGCAAGGTTTTCCCTGAATTAATATGATATAAAACATAGGAAAAGGAAATATTATTATTCATGGGTATAGTAAACACCCGCGGTCATTATGCTCGTTAAAAGTTTCACCTAATACGACCATTCACCCGTGCCGATTTTAACTTTTCATCCTATGATACGATCGAGTAATCAGAGCAACAAGAATGCATGAAACTCACCGTAAGATGTAGAAAATGTTGTCATCGATGCTACAATATCCCAGAAGAACGATGTATCGTGAAAGTCGTCATCAGCGGAGGCCTCGGAGATCTTTAAAAAATGTGCAATATTGTAATTTATTTTTAAAGACAATGCTCATTATTTAAAAAGTGTAGAATTTCATGAATTTGTTACCGTTATCGTCATTGTACTGTTTGCTACATTGTATTAAATGTAAAATTTGAATAATACATAATACCGAAGATTAAAGTTTGATAATAATAAAAATTGCAATTCTCCGATATAAAATTTTAAAATTTCTAGCTCTCTGAAATATAATATTAACGATATAATATTAAAAAAATTTTATTTTTTAATGGATAATAATTTCATTCAAAATGTAAAAAAGAAAATAAAGACAGTTACATCGTTGGTGCTTTGGAGAGGTTGGATCCTCTTGAGACAAACACTGACTCTAATACCGAGATGAATATTGAAGAAGAGAAATGTGTACGTAAAAGAAGGAAAATAAATTCAAATAAAAAAAGAAAAAAAAAGAAAATAATCGACGAAATAATATTGACTCTAATTTCGCCGTATGACAATCGTAATTAGATTTAATTAGAGCTATTGTACCTTGAAAAACGCTCAAGATCCTACATCCTACACAGCAAACACTGATTTTATCGACCGCATTGCACGCGGTCACAAAAGTTCTCTGAAAAAAAAGAACGAAGTGCGTTAGTAGAGAGAGTAGCAAAAAAGAAAAATATTTTATTTTCCCCTTGTTTCCTAATGAACGTTGGTTTAAAACAATACTGCTATTTTATTTATTAAATTATCAATTAGCTAATATTCATTTCTCATCAGTGAATATTGAAATATTCTGAATGCAATATAACCTATTTGCAATATTATGTAGCTATGTTATAAATGCTTGCTATCAGGTTTCAATAATGTATTTGTAATAATAATTTGTCTTGTTTACTAGATATGTATATACTCGAGAATGCTTACAACTTGCAACAGATTAAAATTTCTGTAATTTCTGAATGTAAACATTCCTAAAGGAACTGATAATGATACATAAAAGAAACCTACCTGAGACTAACCTACAATCGAAACGTATTTCATCACGAAAATACAAATTAAGTGATAAGGTTATTACAGAGAGATCGCTATCGAAGTACAATAAAATGTAAAAGCTACTTGAATTCCTTGTTCAAGTGTTACAAAGTCTACGTTCATTTTGACATTGTCAATAAACCATAGAATTATTTATAACATAGCTGCATTACGTATTAATTCTGTATTACGCGTTATTTGTCAATCGTATGTTAAATGCGTAGTTTATAGTTCAATAAAAGTACATACATCAGCCTTTGTTACAGCAAATCAAATCTGTCAATCAGATTATCTGCATTCAATTCTCATCGAATGGATCATTAATCACCTTGACGTTCTATTCTTTCGAAATCATTTCTGTGGTCTAACAACGATCTGTACAAAAGAAAACCAAAGATTTAAAATAAATGTAAAGTAAACGTACAAACCGATACCAATTATATCAAAATACAGCAATAACGTCTCATATTGTGTCTTAGAATCTCGTAATGTCGTAAATAAACGACGTAAGTAAAAATAGCGTAGACAAAGAACGAGAAAGAACGGGAAAGAATTAAAACTACTTGACTCTTTTATATAACGTACAATAAATTATTCTATAAATGTATATAAATATAAACAAACCTAATAATGATGTATAATCAGCAAGAAAATAACTACGCAGTCGAGTGACGCCGTGTAACGCAGACGAAACTTTGTTGACATATCTTAACGCTACGATTTTCGACCGGGAAATGGCGATTGAAGTCGCACTCTAACCTACTCGATTTCTAATTGGCTGGCGCCGTTTAACGTGCTACGATTATTCTTCCAATCACAGGAGCGCGCGAAATTGAAACATAGTCGCCGTAGAAATTTTCTCTTTCAATGAATTATGAGACTCTTGGATTGTATTATTCTTTAGAAATTTTTAGAGATTTCACCTTTTCCTTGATGAAAGGCGTATATACATATACAAACAAACGGTTTCCTGGAAAATTCAACTTTCAGCAAATATCGTAACAATGAACATTTTTCATACCATGATTTTTAACCAAGTATGCACAATACTGTACCTGGAAAATTTGCGTATATCGACTTAATTTGAACAAATGATACCATTTAGCGTATAGAAAAAACAATAAGACATTGTTTGGTTAAATTATATTTGAAATAAAATGATATCTTTGTTTGGAAATTTCAGTTATACTTTATAAATGTTTATATTCTTTTATTATTCCCGCGTTGATAGTAACAATAATTATTTCTATATTAGATATCTACGTATATCTTTACATAACGATACAACGAAAGATGTATTTACTTTACCACTTTCAACGATGAATTATAAAATTATTAATAAAATTAATAAAATATAATTGCCAAATTTATTATTCTAAATCATAAAGATCGTAGTAAAACGTAATTACTTGAGACTACAGGACACGAAATAACCCATAAGATGAAAAGTCCGTGCTGATATTGTCTTCGATGCAATTAATTTTTATTTTCATCGTGTACTCGTTATCGTTTAATCTACGGTGGAGTTATTACCAAGTAGTATCAATTTTTCTACATTTTGCAGCCGTTTTCTTTCTGCTCCATTAATCGTGGCACGATTTTCTCCCGCAAATTATACGCTTACCGCGAACTATTCCGTCATTTCTGGTTCCCGTGAAGTTTCCTTTTTCTCGGAATCTTCTGGCCGCAACGAGAACCCATTGTGTCTCGACGTCACTTCGTCCCCTTAATTCTTCCGCGCTTGTTCTCCAGTGGGTGGAAAGGAAACCGGTGGTCAGTTACGAGTTCGTGAAACGGAAACTCGACCGTGGTCGTTCGATTCTTCACGGGACCAGAAAGGAAAAAAATATGGGAACAGAAAAAGGGATCGTTAATATCGAAATCAGTCATGAGGAACGGGGGTCGTTCCAGTTTCTTTATTCCTTCTTAAATTTATATCTTTTTCGGAACGTCTAAAGATATCAAAGTAATTTCCATAATAGTTCGATATTCTCGCAGACTATAACATTGGAACAAAAATATCGTTTCGTGGGTGAGGACCAGGTTACAAGACGTACCGTTCCGACGTTTACTCGGTCGAATTCGATCGTCGTAAAGTTCGTACGAGCTCGAGGAAAGACACACACCGACTGTACAGAAAGAGAACAATTATCAGTTCGATGTTGGATGACTCTAAAAGTTTCGATTTGAGAATTACGGCCAGCAAGACGGAAAGTTTCGCGAGGATCCGTTACGAACGACATTCGAGCAGAATCCTCTGGTATCCACCGAAGAATTGTTCGAGCAACTTCAATCAGTCTGTTCTTGCAGTTCGACGCTCTTTGAAAAACACTGGAGAAGTTTCTAAATACGGAAAATAAGGACTACAGGAAACTCCTCGGCGGTTCATCTTCAACGTGAAATAAACGCGTGTTCGGTTCCTCGTTTTCTGCACTAAAAATCAACCAATATTTCATCCAAATATCGTTGGCAAACTTTTTAAGAGATCCGCAACTATGTCAGATCTCTGCAACTATGTTCTTCGCTGGAATAGAAACAACGATTTCTTAAATATTTATATTACATGATAAAGAAATTCGGAATACCGGTGGGTAAACCTAGAAGATACCGAAAAGAACGATAGGTGTACGATCCGAGGTAGTTTGAAGCTTAATTGAAATTTAAGGAATTCGCAGAAAGTCGATGGGTTAGTAAATTACATTTTCCCTAATGGAGATTGTTCAGCGCGGGTCTACGTCATTTACCTAGCCGAAATACGGGGAATTCACCACCATTAAGCTACTTCACCTTCTCTTCTCGAAGGCTACTCTTGAAAACGATCGTGAAGTACAACGCAGCCCTCGTCAAACATAATAATATCTATAAAGGAAGATCGCGAAATACAGCGCAACCCTTGTGAAATTTAACAGAATCGATCACGGAATATCATGGCAAGAGTATCGAATTATCCTCTTCTATTGTACAAGACTCGTCTAATAAAAGAGGATGCTTGCTAAATTCTTCTATCATATCAAAAATCAAAAGAATGCAATCTGAAATAGTTGTAACGATTTGGTAACGATAGAATAGCGTGCTAGTAAACGAGAAAATAGCGAAAAGGAAGAAAGAATGAAAAGGAGATTATTCGTTGAGGAATTTCTCTACAACTTATTTCTTTCCTTATGCCGTTTCCAAACATTCTACATTGTTTTATTACTACGCTACCCTATATTTCACGCTGTTTCAAATACAACGAATCGATCTTCTTTTATTTCCCTCGATACGATACGCTGCACGATTCAACATTTCAATATTCAACGCCCCATAAAATCACTCGTAATCCAAATATAAAAGAAAAACAAGAGGAGAAAATAAGAAACGACGATTCTCAGATAAGTTTCGTTTCCTCGAGTGTGACACATACGGTCGCGTTGCATGCTTTACCGGGGCGAATTGTTTCCGGGCAATTGGGAGCGGAAAAAATTCGGGAGCACGGCAGTAGATATTTTCCGAGCTGGAGGAAACGCTTGCAGCGTCAAAGATGATGCGGGCGCGTGCAGCGAAGCCGAAGCGCCGTGAAGATGCATATTTTCTAGGCGAACAGCTCTGTGCACACCTTCGAGATTCCGGAAGGAGATGCGGGTGTTTCTCGAGCGATTTCTTCCGATAGCAAAGCACCGTTCCTACGGGTGGACCTGTCCTTTTCTCCGCGTTTTTCCGCGAATTTATATTCGCATGGTACCTGCGTTTCCGGATGTCGCTCTAGGAGACGTAGGGAAGAAGAGGAAGAGGAGATTAAAGGGGGCAACGGAAATGCCGTTGCAACGCCCGTCGACATCCGACCGGGCGAATTTTCCAACAGAACGGACGCCGAAGACGTTTTAGAAGACATTCGATGCCTTTACGACGCACCTCGAAACACGTAACGTGACCCATTTTGCCCATTGTGCATGTATTTACATGCCACACGCTCTCGTAAACACCTTGCCTCGTTCACTGCTCGTATCATCCGATTCTCACTCTTGCACCGACCGATCTCGTCTTTCGTTTGTCACCAGATACTCGTTGGACGATGTCAGCGATTAATTAGACGTTTGTGGAATTTTAGCTCATCAGTTTCGTTGACTCTGTTTGTGCGTTAAGATGATTACATTATAATGGTCCCTACAATTATCTACGAGTCGTTGTTTCTCTCTCGACGTTTAAACGAAATGAATTATTTGAAGGGAATCTCAAGAAAACGCGTGGAAGAAGTATTACGTCGTCCGAAAAGTTTCTTTCGTTTTATAAGGAAACAACATTTTCCGTTTTATATTATCGTATCGAATTATGTATGATAGATTTTGTTCTATCGAAATAAAGATCACAACGTTCGACAGATCAGGTTTCACGTTTCTACAAAGATGCATCGTTGTAAAAGACGTGTCTGTAAAAGAAAGACTCTTTCCGGACGATCTAATAAATTTCGAAGGGACGAATGTCGCGTACTCAATCGTCGGCAACAAAGATTATTTGTAAAATAATTCCTATGGGAAAAGACAATTCGAATCGTCGAATATGCGAGTTAATGGGAACTGAATTTTTGAAATCTTGGATATAAAACCCCGGAGGAAGATTTTACGACGCAGTATTTGTCTGTTTGAAAATAGCGCAAGTTCAACGAACCATGAAACAGATAATGAAAGGTTCGTGTTAAAAACCAACATCTCGCGAATTGGTAATATCTCGCAGCTCTACACTGACAGCTATCATTTGTTTCAAAAGCGACCGAACCCTTTCATGTTCCGTTGAAAAGCGAATCTCGCGCTGTTTCTCTTGCTGATGGAATTAAAAGAAGTCATTAGGATCGAATGGAAGTAAAAACTGTTTACCGAGGGAAGATCGTGCCTAAGTGAAATTTCGTGTCAAGCGAAACGAGTCCGACTGGTAACAAAGGGACAGGTGCAAAGAAGGATAGAGAAAAAAAAAGTTGCCGGTTTTATTGTTCCCCTTTTGTCTGGTCGCTCGTTTAGCAGCGATTCCTCAAAGGGATGAATGGAAGTATTGTGCTTCGCGATCCCGTCACCCATCGACTGGCTTTGTGTAAATTGGTATCGAGATATTCCTTTTGGTAGCAGATAATAACATTCTTAGTTATCTATGCCGCTCGAAATGTCGGCATACTAATTGCCACTTGTGGTGTTCCTTTGTACGTTACCGCAACGAAATACACGGAATAAATCCCTTTTCAAATAAATTCCATGGCTTGTCTGTATTAAACGTTTATTAAAGGAATGAAAAAGGGATCGATAGCGTTGGGGGCGAAGAAATCAACTGTTTCTCTTCGAGTTTCCTTCTTCGCTCGAGAAGCGACGTCTCGAGATTCACGCAGGCTGCTTTGCTTAATTCGAGGACTTTCAATTTTTTACATCCGCGGTTTCATACTTTCTTTCGTTTAATTAGCTACCGATGTTGCGTCGAGTCTTCCGAAAGTAGATTTTTTAAAATATTTACTTTTTTCTTAGAGAGAAAAAGAGAAAAAGAGGACAAAGGAAAATGTCTGTTCGAAGTAGATACTACCGTACTTGCGATATGGTGCGTTACACTTCAAATAGAAGAAAATCCTGCTGAAACGTAAGCTGATACTCGAAAGGAGAAGAAAAAGGTTACGTTCGCGACGAGAACTATTTTCCGTTATACTACTGGAAAGTAACTTGGACTAATAACGCAAGATCTAGTAAATTCTTCCTGTAAGTTTGAAACCTGCGTCCTCCATTTTAAGT